TCATGGCAGCTACTGTTTTGCTTACTTTGCTTAGCTTCTTTACTTAGCTTTTGTCTGTTAACAGGCATTTTTTAATAATGAAAAGGTGAGAGAAGAGATTCAGCGAGCTGGGAATTTATCATTTATAATTAGTGATAAAGAGAAAAAAGAAAAGAAAAGAAAAGAAAAGAAAAAGGGTATTTTGTAATAGAGCATTTCTAAGCTTTATGAGTAAGAAGGAAGGGGGAAAAATGATTGTATCAACTGACCAAGACTGAACATGGCCATGCCAAGACCTGCATCTGACAGTATGGAAATGGACTGTGCTATAATGGCAGGCATTTGAACATGCCACCTACAAGAAATTTCCAAGCACCCAGTTACCAAACAATCATAAAAAAACAAAACCCAGAAAGAAAATTTACCTATTGAGGAAAATGCATTAAGATTTGTGAAGAATTAAAACACAGCATACCTGAATGAAACTAATGACCAAGTCAGGCCTATTAAGCTTGAGTAAGTGTTTGGATTTCTGATAAGTTTTCTCCAAACCATGATGAGTATAAGCCTTGTCATTACACTTGTTGGTGGCATGGCTTTAGGCTTCCCATCCCCAACTTTGTCTCCTTCATGGTTGTTCGTTTCCCTCTCTCTGTTCCCAAAGCTGAAGTCATCCCTCTCCATATTGTATTCTTGATCATGATTCTCCCTATGACCTTCTACTGAAACAAGACAAATTAATATAATCTATGTTCATCATCAATCCAAAAGAAAAACGAAACATACAAAATGACCCATTAAATTAAAAAAGAAAAAATCAAAATCAAACCAGTACCTTTGCCAGGAGACACAGCTAATCTAACCTCCTTATGGTCGTTTCCAGCATATTCATGGCCGCCAAACACATCGGATACTGGAGAAGCACTAGAGCTCCAAACAAACATGTGAAGATCCCTACCTCCATCTTCTTGCTTCTGCTGCGCCTGTCCATTAGGCTTCTTCGCACTAGCGTTAGCTCCAACACCTTTAGACCCAGTTGGCGAGAACATCCCCGGGTTCGGCGCCGGATAATGAGCCGCACCACCGGACCCGTGGTAATGAAACCTCGGCTTGCCACCGGCTGCACCATCTTCCTCGTAATTAGACGGCCTCGGCGTCGGCCCTCGCGACGCCGATAGTCCATAAACATCGTTGGCGCCGAAGTTAGAGTTGCGCCCACCAGCCATCATCGAGTAAAAATCAGTGTGGTTGAAGCTGGAACCTCTCGGCGTCGGGTTCCTCGACGATTGCAGAGAGTAAATCTCCGCATTGGTTAAGTTTGAGGGACGCGGAGTTGTTGATAACCCTTGAGACCTTCTGGAGAAGATATCTGATCTCGACGCATTGGATTTTCGAACAGTGATATGTAGCTTTCCATCTTCTTTAATCTCAGCTTCCGTCTCCAGCGGCTGCCGTCCGTCAAGCGAGACGATATCGGACTCGACATTGA